TAATTAGCATCCTACAATCCATTTGTTGGAACTTGAGGGTCACCCAGGACCCAACAAATGAATTAAACCCCTGCCAAGGACCCTTTGCTGAGCTGTCGGGTGCCTTTTTTTGGGGTTTGTCAGAGGGGTTCCCAAAACTACTTTTCAGGCTGGAGGCTAACTTTGAGCTCGTCTCTTCAATGGTGAGGTGGGCCACCTTTTTGGATTGTTTTCATGGCACACAGACGGGCAAAGACGCACATATGTGTGGGTTCCATTTCCCATGGCTTCAACGGAACCCCAGCTTTATTTGTCGTTTCAACCAACCTACAAGCCTAATGAGAGGTCAAGCGTAGGGGGGGCTCTATCTTGGGCTGGGAGCCATTGTCCAGAAGCCAAGGATCTCAAAGGTAGGAATAGGGCCCCCCAAACCTGGAGTTCTTTTGGTTTTGCTTCGGCTTTCCCTCAGTTTCTCTCCGTCAAAAGGGCTGAACGACACGACTCGACTTAGTGGCTCACTACCAGGTCCATGATCCAAAACCCAAGTGGAAAATGCGTTGGAGCGGTTTCCTTCTGTTTTTGGTTTTTTGTCTTGCCCGATGAAAGCCTTTGGAGCAGGCCTGCCTCTGCTCAGTTTGGGGAGGGCTCTTTGCCAATCAAGGCATTTACCTAGCTCATTCCTTTCCCCCCCCCCCCCAAACCAATGTTACCATTTGTTTCAGACACATTTTGCCAGGTTGCCCCATTGAACCCCCCCTCCCCCAAAGTGCCGCAGGTGGAGAAGGAGGAGCGCCGGAAGCGCGCGGAGCAGCGCAGGCGCGGACAGTGCCGGGCTGGTGGGAGCACCACATGGTCCGGGACTTGGATTTGGGGGCCCTGGAGAGTTGACGGCGGGTGGGTTGCTCGGGTTGGGTTGGGTTGGGTTGGGTTGGGTTGGCGAGTTGGGTTTGCTTCAGCCTTGTTGGGCATAGGCCTAGGTTTGTAACTTTATGATGATCATACTCAACAAAGATGAATGGCATAGAGCCATATTGCAAGTCTTGAATCCGTGTTGGTGAGGAACAAGTAGCTTTACTTGGAGGTGAGTGGAGGAACTTGAGGGTTTCCTGTCGGCTCATGTTGGGTATAGTGTATGTTAATCCACTGCGGCTTTGGAATGGGTTCACTGTTCGCCGCCACAAACAAAAATGTGATTGCCCGGAGTTTTGTGGTCTCTCGTGCAGGAAGGACATCAAAGAGAAGGCGGAGTCTCTGGCAGCACTTGGCAAACTTCAATAATCTGAGCAAATTACGCCAGAGGTAAAATGTCGCAATTCCCTGAATGTGGGGAAGCAAAGGGGACGGCAAAACAAAACTGGGGGAACTGCGCCGTCTACTTTCACCCAACTGTATACCCCTTAAAGCTATTGTTAAAAACCACCCACCATCCCCTGAGATAATGCCTCAAAGCATGGTTGGTGGACAATTGAGCAGCACCCAAAACTCCCATTGGCCATTGGGTTTTAGGCCACTTTCTGTGAGTGGCCAAGGTAATCCCCTTCAATTCACCTGGCAAGCTAGTTATGTGGATGGAACCAACCCGAAAACGATATCACAGAAGGGGGGACTCCATTGGACACAACCATCTTCCAAAGCGGTTTTACATGGAAAGAAACACAAGTTGATGTTCAACATATCAATCAAGGTAGTCGTATGGGAATCCCATTTTGTGCCACCCATACCAGCCAATCTACTTTAGCAAGACCGACCCTCATGTCCGGAGGGGTGGAACCTTACGGGTTTCAACTCTGGAACCTTCGAGTTTCAACACTAGTGGTTGAAAGCAAAGAGACCTTTCAGGATGTTGAACGCTGGTAAAAAAAAGGTTGAACGAACGATCTCACCTGCCCTCTTTGGTATCCAAGGGAATCCCGTCTATCGTGACAACCGCTAATGTAGAACCCCCAGAAGTCCCTTGCTTGTGAGAAGTGCGTGGGAGGGTAGTCATGGGGATGGGTCTCACCGGTTTAGGGGAGCCACGAACTTTGGTATTACTTTCTGTGATACCAAGGGAATCATCTTGAGAAGCTAGCCCTGGACATCCCACCTTGGTCTCAACTGCTTCGAGTTGATAAAAATCCTTAGGTAAAACACTGGTGGTCACATCAACCCATTGATTTAAGGTCAGGGAATCCCTCGGCAAAACTTTGGTCTCCCCTCTAACGGGAGGTTTTTTGCGGGTACCCTCTTCGGGGTCGGTTTAAAGGGCAACCAAACGGCCCTCCCCCATTTTCATGTTGGGGGTCTATTTGTCAATTTTATTACAAGCTCAGCTAGTCATAGGGATGGGTCTATCCTCCACAAGCTCACCCTTTTAGGTGATGTAGCCACCAGGGAATCAATTTGTTATCGGTAAGGTGGCAGCCACGCACGCTCTCTTTGTTTCTTGTTGGGATCTCCAAATCACTTTGCCTGTTTGCTAGCCACGACGGGCATCATGCAAGGGGCAGACAAGAATGCTAATATGATGTTCCAAAGGGGTCATGACCCCAATTTGGTTTCATGCCAGCCTGGCACCCCACCCCTCCTCTTCCAATTCTGTGAGCTTTTGATGGCACCCCACCCCCCTCTCCTAATTCAAGCCCTTGAGCCCTTGAGCCCTTGAGCCGGTCCTTTGAGCCCTTCACCTCGACTTCATGACACCCCACCGCCCTCCTTCCATTCTGGGGAGCCCCTGGTCACGTTGGCCCCTTCGTCTGGAACGTGGTGACCTTGGTCCTTTGAGCCCTTGACCCCACCCCCATCAGTTCCTTGGCCCTTTGGTCACCTTGGCCCTTTCGTCCACTTCGAGCCCTTGGTCCCTTGCGCATATATCATATGTACACACATAGTATATATATATATATATATCCACCTGGGGGGGTGATCAATATTCTCACCCCCAAATGACTATGGCTAACTTTCGCATGTGGGGTACATCATCTTTTTTGCGGTCCCTCCCGTGCACCCTGGGGCACCCGGCCGAGGAGCTCGCGAAGAAGGCCTTCGCGGCGGGCCTGTCCCCGGCGGCCGCCGCCTCGGCGGCGGCCTCGGCCCAGGCGGCGCAGGAGTCCACGCCGGAGGCGCAGCTCACTGTGGCTGTGCTGGGCCACCAAGGCGCTTGAGGGGGGGGAGGGGGAAAAAAAAAGGTGGTGGGAGTGGGGGGATGGGGGTGTTGTGGGGGGTGGGTGGGGTGGATGGGGGTGGGGTGGATGGGGGTGGGGTGGGGCATGTTGTGGGGGGGGGTTGGGGAGGATGGTTGTGAGAGTGGGGAGGGGATGGTTTTTAGTGGACAAATCGGCCTCTCTGTTTCAGATGTTGGAGGTTTTCGGCGGCATGTGGGGAGGTGCGGAGGGTTTGCCTGATAGACACCCTGGGTTGGGTTGAGACTTTCTCCCAACAAAGGGGTTGTGCTACTCATCTTGCAAACGCCGGGGAAAATTGGGGAACTATGTTCTGCTGGCCCAAGCTCAACCTTTGGAGCTGAAAAAGCCGCGCGCTCCGCTTCCTTGTCAGAACCCGCCGGCACCCGCCCGGGAGGCTCGGGGAAGACGACTTTGGTGGGGGCCCTGATGCTGGCCACGGGCCTCTTGAGCGAGCGTGACCTGGTGAAGCGGCAGAAGGCAGGTTGGAGGGGGTGGGGTGGGGTTGGGGGGGGTGGGGTGGGGTTGGGGGGGGTGGGGTTGTGGGGGGTGGGGGAAAAATAGTAAAAGGAGAATTCAAAGAATTATTCTTTCTACTATTTTTTTCCAACAGCAACACAACAAACAGAAAACAAAATCCAGAACAACAAGCAAACAAAATAAATAATCACAACCACCAACAAAAATATTTAATCACAGCATGCAACATTAAATAATTCAATCAAGCATACCAACAAAACAGCAACACTCTAAATCATCAAAGAACCCAAACTCAAAAACACACATCAACAAAAATCAAAGCAACATACCAACAAAAAATATCGCAAGAGTATCAAACAAAACAAAAACAAACAGCCAAAGCACGAAAAATTGAAGAAGCATGCCAAGTCTAAACAACGCACTTTGAAAGAGATAAGCAAATTATAATAATTCAATCTTTACAAACGATAAATATATTACAATTATAACATATAATATTTTACATGTGATAATCATAGTATGATTATAATTTCAGTACAGGATAATAATTTAATTGATTTGTCTTACTTCTTTCATACATCATTTTAAAAATAATATTAATATCTCTCAATGTATTTTGAACATTAAAATTTTTACTTTCAATAAATAATTTGATATTTTCTTTAACATCTTCTCCTTTCTCTTGACTATAACACAACATCCTTAATATATCATCAATCATACCATATTTTTTCTTAGGGATTTTAAGAAACTGTTTAATATAATCGTAAGGCGGTATTTTATTTACAGTTAGAAATATTAAAATCTCATCTTCTACATTTCTATTATGTCTCCCTTTTATTCTCAACAGACATTTGATTAAAACTTGATTATCTCTCCATTCCTGACAAATTTTACATTCATCTTCTTCATCCATTGAATAATTAATAATATTATTCAATATTTTATTAGGTAAATTTAATTTATACAATTCCATATTTTCTTTTTTGAAGTGACAACAATCATAGCATTTTTTATTGATATAATTATTGATTTTATCACCGTTCATTTTCCTCTTATTATATTAAGGCACTATTTCTTTAAGTCATTTTTAAGGCATTAATAAAAATTAAGAAACTAACCATAAGTATAGTATAATTATAGCATATAATATTTTACATGTTATAATTATATTTCAATTAAGAATTAAGGATTTAAGATAACAGTCAGGCAATATGTCTTCAAATATGTAATCTACATATTTATCAATATCACCAATGTCTATATATTTGATATTGTCTTTTCCTATTATTGAATAAATATATTCCCAAAAGAATAAATACAGCAATAGACATACTTTATATTTAGTGTTGTAGTAATACCATACATGATATTTAGTTATTCTAAATTCATTCAAGACCTTGTTTATTTTATCTTTGCTTAATAAATGCCAATCAATCTCTTCAAACAAATCACGAAATTCTTTAGCAAATGATTTATATGGTTTAATGCTTAGTTCTCCTCCAAACCTTTTAATCAAATCTTTATTATTAAAAAACTCATCAATTTCTTTTTCAAATGACTTTCTTGCAATTTTATGACAAAAATATACAGGAAATCGTTTTTGATATCTCATAAAGAATTTCAATTTTAATTGAAACTTTGTATATCCCTTATCCTTATATTCTTCAACAAACAACTTTTCAAGGTCTCTTGTTATACAGCATTGATTACAATATACATCATATTCACTTATTTTATTACACAGATTAGCAGGTAATAAGTTATACAATGTAAAATTAATAGCATTCTTTTTATTATTACAACATTCACACTTACTATAATTAAACAGTGTCATTTTTCCTCTTAATATATTAAGTCAATATTTCTTTAAGTCGTTTTCAAAGAATTTATTTTATAATGGCCATAAGCAAGTGAGTTTACACTATCTGTCCAATATTTTTTGTTTTCATAACTACTAAGAGCAATTTTTTTAGTTGCTATACTAAAAATTCTGTGGTTTTTACTTCTAATACTATTAAATGACTTATGTATAACCTTATTAGTTTTTAAAACCGTCTCAAACTCTTCATATTTCATTTGACGTCTTACTGTGCCTTTTGCTATGCCCTTACATTTCTTATATTTTTTTATCATCACCATAAACTGAGTAAGCATAGCATTTAGGACGAAGAGCTATAAACCCTGTTATTATTTTACTTTTTAATTCATCCTTAAATTTACCTAATACTTTCTTGTTATTATCATCATAACATTTATGTTCCTTAGGATAATCTGAAAAATCTAATTCTTTTTTAATTGTATTAAGGTCTTCATAAATGTCATTGGTTTTAGTATGAAATACAAAACTATCAGTATCAGTATATACCATTTTAATATTATCTCCATATTTAGGCTTCATAACGTCATAATAAAATTTATACATGTGTTGCTTACTCAAATCTAAAATACTCATCCCAATAAATATAGGTTTGTCTAGTTTCAACTTTGTTTTTTGCTTTTCAACTCCAACCAAATTTTCATTAATGATATGACTATGTTTGAAGTTAGGATTACTTACACACTTCATATATCTAGTTTCATCACTCACAACCTCAAAGTCTAAATGTTTTCGCTTATCCTCCATTGTTTTTCCAAATATGGCATTGTTCATCAATTTGTAAACATCTTTCTCAAAATCATTTCTAGCATTCTTCCTCTTCTCAGTGTTAAACTCAATGTAAGGTTTTAAAACTTCTTTTTGTTCAAATTTAATTGCTCTATGAATTTTCTTAAGTTTTAACCCTTGCTTCAAATAAAATTGTAAGGTTCTTATATGGATTACATATTTTTCTTTATCATTTAAATTCAATACTAATTTATTTGTTTTCTCATCCGTAGGTTTTTTATGATTTAAAAATTCATAAATTTCAATTTGTTTATCTGACAGCATGTCGGCTTTAACATTCATAACCTCAGGTGCCATTGGATAGTCATTGTGTAAATCGTGTAATTCTTTAGGATATTCTAAATCCACTTCTAGAATATATCCAATATTATTATTCTTATAATTAATAATGTCTTCTTCTTTTAATGTATCATCCCATTTTAGATTTTTATATGGCAGTTTTTGTATCATGCTTAACCCGTACAAATTATTAGCATCAAAATAGTTAATATAACTACTTTCTTTACTTTCATCATATTCTTCACCCATGTATTTATTGTTTGCTTCAACTTTTTTAGTAGAAACCATACACATCCCGCCTCTAAGTCCCGCTTCTATCATTTCATACATTTCTTGGTCATATATTAAATCAATCTCTACACCAGTCATTTTAAGCATAGCATCAAAAGCAAAGTTAGGCAATGTATAATAATAAGCAGGGTCCAATCCATAATATTTCATACATACATCTCTAAAATTTTCGAAAATGTCAGTCAATAATAATACATCAGTTTTCAAATATAAATCATGGTATTCACCCATATTCTTAATGTCAAAATGCTTCCATATAATTTTTGCCCTTTCATAGTCGTTAACACTTATACCTTCTTCACTCAACTGACTATAAAAATCATCCTTACTCGGTAATTGCTCATCATCAAATTTATCAAATGAATTCATGTAGTCATAATGATAAACGCCTTTATCAGTTAATACATCTAGACATTTCTCACTCTTAATCACATCATTTTTACTACTGAACCTAAAATTATCTTTCCAGTTTTCACGCAATAACCATTTACTTTTATCTTCTTCATCTGTATTGTCATACTTACTCATTGAAACTAACTTATCTAATGAAGCAGTTAAAAACCCAAAAGTGTCTTTAACACTCAAACTTTCAAAACTGATATTAATAAATTTTTCACTGTTCTGAGCGATGACACCTATTTTATTGTTGTTACTTAATTTATCCGCATTTTGAATAATTAAATGACCATCATAATTTTTCATGTTATGGAAGAATACAGGAATTCTAAAATATCTATTACAAAAATTAAGATTGCAAACATTATGAGCACAACCCCAAAATTAGTTGTAAAATGACAATGGTCTCTAACTTTTCTATATTTCTCTGCTTCCTTGGCATTCTTATAGTTCATTCTAAACTTGTTTCGCGAAGCTGACGCATCGCTCAAGCGAAATGCGTTTTCACAAATAAAGCAGTTTTTAGCATTTTTAAAATATTCTTTGTCTTCGTCAGTCATGTCTATTTTTTCGTTTTCTCCCATGTTCTCCTTTACTGCCCTAATGTCATTAAGTTTTTGACAAAACACATCAACAGCATCTTTACCACGATACATAAATTCATAATTTGTATTATCAACAGCATTAACCATATTAAGCATAAAACCACATGGCTTATGCTCTTGATAAGAAAAAGTGTTTTTATCTTCATCTTCATCAGGTTTTTCAGTTCCTCTGTCAAACATTCAAAATCAGCATATACAACAAAAGGACATCTTAACTTTTTGAAGTGATGCTTAAAACTAACTTTCTCATAAGGCTTAGGCATTACTATTTGTTGACCATCAACTTCCATGCATCCACTATCATAATGTTTATTTAATAATTCTTCATTTCTAAATCCATGATTACAATATTTACAAAAATAGGACTTACCATTATGATTACTTTTCTGATTATTAATAAGTCTGCTCAAACTTTTTATATACACATAATGACTGCAATCCTCCTCATCAACTCTCAACAAATCAAGATGACAAGAAGCATCTTTATTTTTCAATTTTCTACTAATAACAATTTGTTCATTATCATCAATTTCATAAACATTAATGGATATTGATTTATTATTTTCTTCAAATATATCTATATCATTATTATTAGCAGGAAAACTCACACCATCAAAAATCAAATCACTTGCTATCTTCTTGTAATGAAACATCTTTTCAGGGTGTGCTTTATCACAAATTTTACAATATCCACACTCAATAGAATATTTAAAACACTTGTCATCTTGATTTTTAATATTGATACATGCCTTTTTCTTTTT